CATGGCCCACATCCATTGGATACCAAATTACCAATACCATTGGCAATTTGGCATCATATAGTCATACCAGCATTATCATATATAAAATATTGATTTTAATCTTGAGTAAATTTGGAAATTAAAAACAAACTAATTTTTTTTTTTTTTAAATATCTTGTTTACCATTGCCAGTTGCCACTATGTATGCTTTGGATGCTGGAGGCTTCAGGCTTGGAGCTCCAATTTTTTTTTTATATTTGGAAACATTCAACCCAATTATGATTTATGAATGGAATGCAATTCTCTCACAACTCCAGAAATGGAGCTCCCAAAAATCTTATAGAGCTCCAATGGGGAATTTTCCTTGTAGATGTAGGATTAAAAAGATTCCTTTAACTTAAAAAATGCTTTGCATGTTGCGAGTTGGACAGTTGCAGTGATGGCTAAACAAGGAATTTTACAGAAGCCACCCATTAATTAGAACTAACAAGTTGAAAACAAAAAACTACAATTTGCAATTTATGCAAGCAATTTCACTCATTCCTATTTCCTACTATGCTAGGAGGGCAGAAGTTTTAGAATGGGAACATTACTTGCACATCCTCCTCATTCAGCTGTGGGCAACTGGGCGTACATGCCAAGCAGTGCAACTGCAATGTTCCGGTGTCTGAGTGATTTCAGAGTTCTAGCTTACACGACCAGTGTTACTGACCTACGGATTTTAGAATCCCTGTATATTTTAAAGCCGAAACCTGGTTTAAATGCAGCCTTCAGGCTTCAGCTCCTATCCCCTACCCCTTGAAATTGTAAATAGATAGGCCTGTCTCCTTATGTGTATTTGTTTTTATTTTTTCTATTTATGTTTTTATCTTCGATGTGAATTGTGAATTTAGTTTTCTAATTGATTCTGATTTTCTTATAGGTTTTGAACTTTTGAACTGACGCTGGAGCTGGTCTCCGAAACGTTTTCATTCATAAGAAATGGTTAATATTCTGGCTGTTTTCTTTGCTTTTAAATTCCTGGTAATTCAGAATGTTGCTGACTTCAACCCAGATCCAGACTAAGTAAATAAAACCCAATTTCACAGAATGGACCCAGACCGTTCTGTGGGACCAGTTTCACAAAAAATAAAAGGCTGCAAATCATCTGAAACATCAAGAAAACTTGAAATTTTACATATCAAATTTATTCAAGAAATTTTGGCTAACCAGCACCTGAAGGTTTGAAAATAGTGTATTTTTTATCAAACTAGTCAATAGAGAATGATCCAAAACATCCAAGAAACATAAAAATTTTTTATAAATTTTGCCAATTTACTATGAAAAATTTCATGTCAGGTCTGGAGACCCAAGACCCATAAATTTGGGTCACACAAGAGTGTATTTTTTGATCAAAATAATCAATGAAAGGTGCCTTGAAATGCCTGAAAAAGATGAAACACTTTTTTTTATTTATTATTTACTCTGAAAAATTTATGTCAAGTTCAGTGGTCAAAATTGAATAAAATTCCTTGAAATTTTTCATATTTTTTGGGCATTTCAGAAAACTCTATCAATCAGTGTGATCAAAAATACACTTTTCTTAGACCCTTATGTGCTGGTCAGACAACATTTTTTCAAGTAAATTTGATACATCAAATTGCAATTATCTTGAATGTTTCAGATGATTTGCACCCTTTTATTTTTTATGAACCTGGTCCAGCTGATCTTTCCTGGTCCAGCTGACCAGCCTGACCTTTCCTGGTCCAGATTTTAGTCACTACCACTCGTAACCTATTCATAATTTCCTAAATGATACATTTTAGTTGGTTCTGTGATTATTAGTAGAAAAATTGAGCAGCATCCACTCGTGAATTGGATAAAAATGTCTATGAATCTGGCAAATTTCTCCCATTCATCTAGCCTTTTCCCTTTCCAAATTCTTCAGTGAAAATTAAAAACACTGCCTATTTATGCGTACAATTTTTGAATATTGTCCATGAAACAATAGTTTTTATCCATTATTTTAGAAAACTTATACCCAGTATTCCTAATTGGCTGTAATTTAGTCTGTTCTTGTTTCTGTTTCTCAAGTTGAAAATAATTCTTGACAAAATATGCCTAAGGCACCACCATCTCCACATTCTCCAGTTTCAAGTGAGTTCAAGCTAACATTGAAAAGTTCTTACTAAATTATCAATATTATTTTGTGAAATGATAGCTCTGAAATGCATGTACGCATATATACTGAACCCAAATTGGAAAGAAGCCACCCATGAATTAGACAAAAATGCCCACAAATCTAGCCAATTTTATCTATTCCTATGGCCTTTTCCCAATTGGTAAAAAATAATAGAAATGGCATTATTTCTTTCTGTAATTTCTTTGAATCATCTGCAAAATGATTAATTTTTGCCCAAAATTTCTTGAACTTTTGTCCAATATTTCAAATTGGTACTGAGCAAAGCTCAACAAACCAGGTATAGTTTTAAATTATGCAAAATATTGTCAGTGACAGTTTTATATTAGTCAAAGACTACCTTTGAATTCAATCTGCTTTGTCTGCCAGCAATTTCAATACCTATACCTATTTATGAGAACAAATGTCAATGTGTTGGCAACACAGTGTTGCCTGGCCTAGTTGGTATTTTTCAACGATTATTTTGACTCCTGGTTGATTTTCCATGCATTTTGGTAAAATATTATACAGGGTGTCCCAAAAAAAAAAAACGATACTCAACTTTTAATGGCTGTAACTCAGAAAGTAATAGAGTTAAAAATTTTTTGGAAGGTCAGGATTTGTTCCCTATGTTTTTCTCCATCTCTCCACCAAAAATCAGACAGATTGATGTAGTCATAAGTGTTTGATGGAATTTTCAGTGGCATGTGCTAAAATTGTGCTTGCGCAAAGTTTTAGTAAGATCATTTTGCATAATCATTACGTTGTCTTGACATGTTTTCTTTTCTCTGTTTTATTTTTTGTATTTTTAGTGAGACAAAAACATGGCAATCTTTTTTGAGAGGCAATCATGACAATGATTGGTGAGAGACAATCATGGCAATCTTTTGTGAGAGGCAATCATGACAATCTTTGGTAAGACAAAAACATGAATATCTTTGGTGAGAGACAATCATGATAATCTTTGGTAGAGACATTAATGGCAATATTTGGGGAGAGGCAATCTTTGGCTTTGAAATTCCCTCTCACCAAAAGTTGCCATGATTGTCTCTCACCAAAGATTGCCATGAATGTCTCTACCAAAGATTACCATGATTGTCTTTCACCAAAGATTGCCATATTTTTGTCTCACCAAAGATTGTCATGATTGCCTCTCACCAAAGATTGCCATGATTGTCTCTCACCAAAGATTGTCATGATTGTGTCTCACCAAAGATTGGCATGATTGTGTCTCACCAAAGATTGTCATGATTGTCTCTCCCTAAAGATTTCCATTTTTTTGTCTCACCAAAGATTGTCATGATTGCCTCTCACCAAAGATTGCTATGATTGTCTCTCACCAAAGATTGTCATGATTGTGTCTCACCAAAGATTGTCATGATTGTCTCTCACCAAAGATTGCCATGTTTTTGTCTCACCAATGATAAAAAACAGCGAAAAGAAAACATGTCAAGACAACGTAATGATTATGCAAAATGATCTTACTAAAACTTTGCGCAAGACGATTTTAGCACATGTCACTGAAAGTTCTATCAAATGCTTATGGCTACATCTGTCTGATTTTTGATGGAGAGATGCAGAAAAACATAGGAAACAAATCCTGACCTTCCCAATTTTTTTAACTCAGTTACTTTTCGAGTTACAGCCATTCAAAGTTGAGTATTGTTTTTTTTGGGACACCCTTTATGTATTCATTGATATATTGACAAGCTTGAGTGTCAATATTTGTTTTTTCCTTGTATTTCTTAACATGGTTACTCTGATATCAAAAGCAAGGTAATGCTGTTATTTTAAACTAGAATTGTCTTTGCTTTGAAAAAATCCAGCTGAGTTTACTATGATTTGTAGTTTTAATGAAATCAAACAATGAAACCAACCTTCTGTCTGTTGATTGATATTGCATTTTACTGCTTAACCATTTTACTTTACTATTATATTTTACTGTTTAACCATTTTTAAATGGTTACTTCTTTTAAAGGTTTCAAATTATGGATGCGTGGAATGATTTCATCCAAGAGCAATACTGGCCAAGCTTTAGCAATGCAAGATGTCAATGCTGGAACCAAAGTTGATGACAAGCATCACTACTCCAGTAAAAGTTACAGCTCTAAGCTTATCTTCAACCTACATGATTTGTGGACATCAGAGCAGCTCTGTGATGTTGAACTCAAAGCTGGCTCCTACTCTGTCAAGGTGGCAATCAAGCGTTCTGTTTTAAATCAATAAAACTTGTATGCATTGGTCTAGAGCATTTATTTCAAATTTTAGCTTTCTTATCGTGTGTATAAATTTCCAAGTTTTCTTTAGAGGATTTTTATATCTAGTTACATCTGTTTATAATTTTTTCATGGTCTACAAATCAACACTTTTATTGCAGTAAAAATTGACACTAGATGAAACTTATACAACCTAGCAGTCACAGCTTGATTTTAGTTTGCCGGCCTTATTTAATCAAAGCTTAACTATTGTCAATACTATTATTTCCTATCTGAACTGTCATTTTTTAACCTTATTGGTGTTGTAATCCACAGTCATTTTGATTACAAATTCTTTGGCCACAATTTTTATTGATTAATAACTCTTGTCCTAGTTAAAGCCTTTTTGTTCTCAAGCAATCCAAAAGTTCTTATTGATGTATTAATGACACATTTTGACTGTGGAACTGTTGACTAGGTATACATAGTATTGTTGACTATGGTATTGTTGGCTATGGTATTGTTGACTATAGTATTGTCCATGGTATTGTTGACTATGGTATTATTGACCATGATATTGTTGACCATAGTATTATTGACTATGTTATTGTTGACTAGGTATAGTATTGTTGACTATAGTATTATTAACTATGATATTGTTGACTATAGTATTGTTGACTAGATTTTTGTTATTGACTATAGTATTATTGACTATGGTATTGTTGACCATGGTATTGTTTACTATAGTATAATTGATTATGGTATTGTTGACTATGGTATTTTTGACTAAAGTATTATTGACCATCAGGCACACAGATGCGTGCTGGCAGCAGCCAGTTCCTACTTCCAAGCAATGTTTACAAGTGACCTGATGGAGCAGAAGCAGCAAGTTGTGGCACTACCGACGCTCAAGCCCCACATACTGGCGGCTCTCCTCACCTTTATTTATACTGGTCAGACCAACTTGTACAAAATAAATGACCTATTATTTCTTGAAGAATTTAATTTGTTTCATGTTCTGATTAGTTTTGTTTTTGTTTGATATGCTTTACATTTACTTTGTAAATTCTTTTTACATTGCTTTATATGACCTGGAATTTTTAAATTTTATGTTATCTTCACTACATCATTGTATCAATATCAATAACTCAAAAACTGGAGATCATTAGTGAAGATTACTGGTACTTAATTTACAGGTAATGTAGAGGTGACTGCTGAGACAGTACAAGACCTGCTGGTGGCAGCAGACATGTTGCAGATGCCTGATGTGGTTGTGACGTCATCCAACTTCCTTTTGAAGCAACTTACTCCTGCTAATGCCATTGGCTGCTACAGGTAAGAGGTGATTATGCTTGGTGATTATTACTACGTACCTACCTACTTATTAGCTGAACAAGTTCCTTGCAGAACAAATTTCTTCATATGGGTGGAAATGCAAATTGCCATCAAAAGATACAAATTCTGATGTTTAAAGATGAGATTCTGCCAAAGACTGGGACATGGCTACCTGCAGTAAAGCCACTTGCTATTAATCCTAAATATTCTTTTTATTTACAAAACTTCAAACTATTATGACTTGTTTCATGGACCAAATACTGTGAAAGTTTATTAACTTTTGTGGCATTAGTTAAGTGAGTTGATATTGAGACAAAATGCGACACATTAGCTTACTGATGAAGTTGATGTTCTGTTCTATACTTTATTTTTTCTTTACATTGTTTCTATAAGATCTGTACTTCATACTCCTATAAAATTTATATAATGTTAACTAATATAAGTCTTTAATAACTAGAAAAAAACTTTAATAACTTAATAAAAAGTCACTTTTCATCAAATTGAGCTTAGATGCTCAAAGCATCCCATGTGTTTAAAGTTCAAGCTCCAAGTATGATGTGTATTTTTCTATAGACCAATTATTGATCTCTTGAAGCAGTTAACATTGGCTTCCATGTGTTGCAGGTTTGCAGAAGGGCACCACCTTGATGCTCTGGCACAGAGTGTGTGGCAGTTCCTAGAGCAGAATTTCCCTGAAGTGGCTCAGGAGGAAGAGTTTCTAGACCTGCCCATTGAACTCCTGCTGCGCCTCCTGCTGTCGGAGCTGCTCAATATCTCTGCTGAGCATCAGGTCTCTGGGGCTAGCACATATATGGCATCATTATAACAATATTAATAATAATAGCTGTTTCAGCGTTTATTAGGCCGTAGGCCTGTCGCTGATTCTGAACATCGCAGAACATTCACAGCATTTTGCGGTTTCGAACTCGCAACTCACTGCTACATTTCTGCTGTGCTTAACCGCCCGGCCTCCTTGCCGATTCTGACCAGAAACTGGCGCACGGAGCTGGGATCGAACCCGCGCCTCTCTGCGCCAATCTTGGCACTCTGAACTTTAACCGCTGGGCCACCCTGCCCTGGGCCACAAGGATATATTGATCAACACTCCTCATATTTCATATTGAATAGGTGACAATATTCGTTGGTGTTGTGGCTAGCTAATTTTAATTAGACGATTCTCAGGTGGAGTGTATCCCATTTCTCAGCATTGGGGCTTTTCTGCATTTGAATTTTCAGGGTTTTAGGGTTCTGCCACAGCGTTAAAACTGCTTTAACTGTAATTTCCTGTATGTCAAATTTCATCCACCCTGCCATGTGTCTGCGCTCCTCATTATGCATGCTCTTGTCTTCATGGAGTCATGTATTTGAGTCTGCATATACTATGTGCATATTTGGCAGTCAAACAAACTGTTTAATTATTTCCCTCACAATATGTTACAAGTATTTTTGCTAAAGTTTATAGGTACTATAGCTTTTATTATATGGTAAGGTAATTTTTTATGCCATTATCAAAGGAAAGTCTGCCATAATTTAAATATTTTTCTGTGAAATTTTATTTATCTAAAGATGCATTTTTAGCTCATTTTCTCATTTATGAAAAAAAAGGTGCTATTGTGCTCGCCATGTCCGTCCGTCCGTCCGTCTGTCTGTCCGTGATTTCACGTTTTCATGGACGAAAAAATGTGCTCTGTCACTCACTGCAGTGAGTACCGAGTTATATTTTTTCAAGTTTTAGGCTTCCCTATCAGGTCCTGAGTGCCGCCGTGCGCTGGTTGAGTCACATGCACACAGAGCGTGCAGAATATGCCAGCCAAGTGTTGCGATGTGTCCGCTTCCCTTTGTTGTCCACAAGTGTTCTGGCAGAGACGGTGTCACAGTGCAGTAGTGACGCCGTTGACGCCATCAAGGCAAGTGTCCCATTGCAGTAGTGATGCCATCAAGCTAGTGTGTCAGTGCAGTAGTGACGCCATCAAGGCAATTAGGGCAATTGTGTCAGTGCAGTAGTGACTAGTGACGCCATCAAGGCAAGTGTGTCGGTGCAGTAGGGACGCCATCAAGGCAAGTGTCCGAGTGTATATGAGCTTTTGCGGTGTTGGTGCAATGCTGGTGCTGTGTTGTTGCTGTGCTGTTGCTGTTTTGGTGCAGTGCTGTGCTGTGCTGGTGTTTGGGTGTATTTGTGCTCTTGTTGCTGCTTGTTTCTATGAAATTCTTCGTGACGTGTTGCATCATTTCTGAAAGTTTCTCACCAACCAATATGATACTACATCAAACGATGTATCATATTATCGATGTACATATGATTCGTGAAGTTATTCTAAGTCTATCACAACACGCATGACTCATGTTGCCCCATATTGACGCATGTTGTTTCATATTTTTTTGAACGCGCAGAATGACGGTATGTTCTTGTAAATCTATTATTAAACCAGAATTCCTGATATTGCTGTGAATATTGTCGTATATTTACCGTAACTAATTATTCGATCGTTAGTTTCAATGCATTTATCATAGCACTCAACATGACTGAATTTTGCAGTGTTTCCTGAAGTCGCCCCCCGCAGCGGCAGAGGGAGGCGCCGCCTTCTGTATCGCCCGTCCGCGTCTCCGCGCCCGCAAGAAAATATACGTGATGGGCGGCGCCAGGCGGGAGCTGGAGAGCCCCCACAGACGCTCTGAGCACTTGCTGTATACTGGACTGTGTCTCGACACGTACACGCAGGTATACTGGACTGTGTCTCGACACGTACACGCAGGTATAACACTGNCAGACAGTCTTCGTGCCTTTATACAGACAGTCTTCGTGCCTTTATACAGACGGTCTTTGTGCCTTTATACAGACCGTCTTCGTTCCTCATTACAGACGGTCTTTGTGCCTTTGTACAGACGGTCTTCATGCCTTGATACAGACAGTCTTCATGCCTTTATACAGACAGTCTTCGTGCCTTTATACAGACGGTCTTCGTGCCTTTATACAGACCGTCTTTGTTCCTCAATACAGACGGTCTTCGTGCCTTTGTACAGACGGTCTGCGTGCCTTGATACAGACGGTCGTCTTGCCTCTATGCAGACGGTATTTGTGCCTTCATACAGACGGTCTTTGTACCTTTAATACACGTGACACCATAGGTATCTGTCCTCTTTATGACCACAAGTCCCCTCCAGGAGGACGAGTGGTCGGCCATTACGCCGATGGTGGTGCCCCGCTGCGAGTTCGGGCTCTGCGCCCACGACGGTTTCCTGTACGCCTTCGGGGGGTGGGTGGGTGAGGGCGTCGGAGGCACCATAGAGCGCTACGACCCCAACGCTAACACCTGGGCAGAGACAGACAACCTCCTCATACCCCGGTTCAGGTGGGTGATGGGAACCATCTCGGTTCAGGTCGGTAATGGGAACCATTTCGGTTCAGGTGGGTGATGGGAACCATCTCGGTTCAGGTGGGTGATGGGAACCGTCCCGGTTCAGGTAGGTGATGGGAACCGTCCCGGTTCAGGTGGGTGATGGGAACCGTCCCGGTTCAGGTGGGTGATGGGAACAATCTCGGTTCAGGTGGGTGATGGGAACCGTCCCGGTTCTGGTGGGTGATGGGAACCATCTCGGTTCAGGTCGGTAATGGGAACCATCTCGGTTCAGGTGGGTGATGGGAACCGTTCCGGTTCAGGTGGGTGATGGGAACCATATTGGTTCAGCTGGGTGATGGGAACCGTCTCGGTTCAGGTGGGTGATGGGAACCATATCGGTTCAGCTGGGTTATGGGAACCGTCTCGGTTCAGGTGGGTGATGGGAACCATCTCGGTTCAGGTGGGTGGTAGGAACCGTCCCAGTTCAGGTGGGTGATGGGAACCGTCCCGGTTCAGGTGGGTGATGGGAACCGTCCCGGTTCAGGTAGGTGATGATCACCACCCCTGTTCAAGTGGGTAATAACCACATAACCACTTCTTTCTATGCGGACATTATCCGAACCTTGTACCTGTATCTGGTTTGCGATGGTCAGGAACCGACTTCGTTCTAGGTGTGCACTGAGCATCTATCATTGTTCAGGTCTATACTGGGAACTTAATTCGGTTTATTTGGGTAATTCGGACCAACGTTGTTTTATTTAGATCAGTGGTTCCCAAAGTGGGCGATATCGCCCCCCTAGGGGCGGTGGAAAGATTTTGGGGGGCGATAAGGAAAAATAAGGCGGTAGGGGGGCGATAGAGGGGCGGTAGTCCGAAGTTCAATGTCAGAAGTTCGAACGTTTGTAAGATGATTTGTACACAACATGTGCAGCACATGACTCCAAGCGATGGTTTTTTCTGTTTTTTTAACCTAGCTCTCCTGAGTTTACGTCTCGGACAAATTAATGACCAGACTCGAGGCCGGTCTCACGGCCAATTTTCAAATTCAATGATCAAGGAATATCTCTCAAACTAATGAACTCGACGAAACTTGGTACACGTATTCATTAGGACCTAACGGTAATGTTTTGCTCGTGAAAATTGTTTAAATTTTGCCATCGTTTGTTTTTGCCATAGGTATATGGCAATTCGGGCCGAAATTCACAGTGATCAAGTACCTTCCAAACTACTGTACAGGTTCGACTGAAATTTCAAATTTACAGTCCTAACTACCAAGAGAAAATGTTTTGCTCGTGAAAATTTTTTCGATTGTGCCTTCGTTCGCGAGTTTTTTTTTCATTTAACCTTCATTCACGATTTAAACAGCAATTCGTGCTTAAATTCGCAGTAATCAAAAATTTTTTAACAAACTACCCTAAAATACCCTACCTTAGCAACGGTGATGTTTACATTTTTTCTTTTTGCCTTCGTTGCGAGTTATACGGCTATACGTATACTGATTCTGATTTATAGAAGCCATCGATCGACCGGTAGAAAAGCTGGTCGTTCCTTTTATATCTGTATATCTCGCAAACGAAAGCAAAATGGAAAAATTGTCACGAGCTAAACATCACTGTTTAGAGGTTATGTATTTTTATACAAAGTCTCGTTGAAATCTGTTCTGTATTTTAGAAGAAATTTCTTGATCGCCGCGAATTTAAACGACAAATTACCCGGCGATACGGGCCGAATATAAGGAAGTGTGAAATCAAGAATGACGGTGAAATGAAAAAAAAAACTCGCAAACGAAGGTAAAATCGAAAAAAATTATAAGCTAAAAAATCACCGCTTGGTAGTTAGGAATGTATATTCAAAATTTCGTTCAAATCTGTTCAATAGTTTGGAAGAAATTCTTTGATCAATGCGAATTTTGGCCTGTTTCGCAATATACGCGCAACTCACGAATGAAGGTGAAATTTAAATAAAAATTACGAGCTAACATCACCGTTAGGTTCTGATGAATGCGTGTTCCAAGTTTAGTAGAGCTGCGTTCATTTGTTTTGGAGATATTTTCTTGATAATTGAATTTGGAGATTGGTCGTGAGACCGGCCACGAGTCCGGCCGTAAATTCGCCCGAGACGTCCTAGGTTTCTAGTGCGGGAACAGTTAAAACAGCTGAAAAACATATTGGTTCACTAAATGGGGTTCTATTTGTGAAATACACATTTGTGTTTAACCTTTATCTTTTAAAATTGCAGCGTACTAAATTTCAAGAAAGTCGTATGTCTGTGGGGGGCGCTAGAAATTCACTAGGGAGCCAAAGGGGGCGCCAGCCTGAAAAAGTTTGGGAACCACTGATTTAGATGCTTTAGGGAAGCCTGGCTAGGATGAGTCTTGGTCGGGAACCTAAGTCGCTTCAGGTGTGTAATTTCAGAAAACTAAATCCTTATCTGTCTGGTAATGATTTAGAACCCACTCTGTTTCTGGTGGATGTTTGTGGAGCAGCAACCCTGTTTTTGATACCTACGTTTTGGCTGTATATTATCTTGGCCATGGCTACTTCCAGTCACCTTCTCCCCCTCTACTCCCAGCTCCTCATTCTCCCCTACTCCCAGCTCCCCGTTCTCCCCTACTCCCAGCTCCTCGTTCTCCCCTACTCCCAGCTCCTCGTTCTCTCCTACTCCCAGCTCCCCGTTCTCCCCTACTCCCAGCTCCCCGTTCTC